AGGAACGGGAAGGGAGGTTGATAAAAGAAAAGTTAGCGGCACTACTGAGTACGAACGATAGCGTCTCTGTATCCAGCGAGGGAACGACGCTACTCTCCGTACTTATATGTATAGAATCACCAGTAGTCGCAGTAGAAAGTGTTAAATTAACAAAGTATTAATAGAAAGGAAGGAGCTGCAAACTTAGAGAAATAGAGAGTTTGCACAAGGTTTCGGGTTATCACAAAATTTTGCAAATAAATAACCCAAAGAAGAGGCATGGTATCGTTATATACTCTGTGGTGAGTGTCAGCTTCTTCACAGGGCAGAAGCAGGCAGGCAGGCAGACAGGCAGGCAAGCAGGTAGCCGGCCAAGAAAACTGGACGCCTGCCTGCTAGGCCCCAAAAAGGAACAGAAAAGAAACTGACTCCTCTCATTTTCTCTTTGCGGCGCGACGAGTGGACCAAGGTCTCCGGTCTCCATATCCACCGGGAGCAGCTCTAGCCTTCCCAGCCGAAAAGCAGGGAGAGGAGGGACAGGCAAGGACGTGGTGGAGCCGGGGAAGAGGGAAAGGGGAGCCCAGGTCTAAGCGTCTAGAAGACATTGCATTGGACGTGTGGCGTCTGTGGAGTCGCATCGATCGGAACTGGTTCCCAAAGTTTCTTTTTCTCTCACTGGCGCTCGTTGCGTCTTTGCTTTTTTGTTGTATTTCTTTTTCTTTTTTTGTCATTATTATTTATTTTTGATTTTTGAATTTCTTTCGACAGGATGCCAGGAAGGGAAAGGCGAGAAGGCCGGGTCTTCATTCCAACCTACTCCGTACCCCCAATATGATTGGCGAGGAGAAGATGGACGGCTGAGGTACGGAGGAGTCCATCGGCCGCTTGGGTTAGGGGATGAAGTCTTTTTTTGGAGAAATAATAATAATACGCAGCCTGGGTCGTAACCGAGCCCAAAGCTTACGCTTGTTCGTCGTTGAGAAATAATGAAACGAAGGATTTTGCTGATGACGCCGAGGAAGATGCAGATGCAGATGCAGATGCAGATGCAGACAATCGACCAATATGGTTCTTCTCTCCCTGCACCCTCGATGGAGCTCGTTCCTCGAGGTACTTCTTCAGTTCAGACTCCAGAGTTTCGGCAACCTGATTTACGCAAATCTCTCTCTATAACGGGCGCTTCGAAACTGGGCCCCCACATGCACACACGCTCACCCGAACATGCATGCAGTATGACGATGCCGTAATACAACGTACAGGGCAATATCGAAAGGACCATGCTCAGCTCATCTCAACCGGCGTTCGTGGCACCGCTGAGCGCGACGGAGCAGACAGAACACATCCGCTGCATATATTGAGAACATGGCTACGCCCTGGAAGAGCAGCAGCTCCGGTCCCAATACCCAGCCGCAGCCTGTGCGCCACCGTACAGAGCACAGAGTGAGTACACCAGGCCGCACTCCGGGCCAGATGATGTTGAAAGAGGCCGGTGGAAAGCAGGTACCGACAGTCTGGAGAGAGTTTTGCCAGCCCAAGCAGGAGCCGTGGGTCATGTGACCCCCCCCCCCCCCCCCCCCCCCCGGCTGTGATGAGTCAGCAAGGCGCCGCCCTGACGCTCGTTTCGCTCGCCTGCCGGAGCTGACGGGCTGGAGATGGAGATAGTTCGCAGGCAGCAGCAGCGCAAAGCCTAACAGCGGTGATACTCGGTGAGGCGTGGTGAGGCTGGTGTCTGTTTGGCTGTCGTGCGTACGTGATGCTGCCATGATGGGCGTACCCCCCAGTAGTTACACACCATTATTATGTACGGGGACGCCTGCCAATGTGATCGAGCTTCGCTGAGACGACCCAAAATTCTAGCGGTGCCAGGGGGTGGCTGAGAGCGCGAGGAGCCAGCCCATGATGTCACCACAGCAGCCCTTGCGGCGTCAAGCTTTCGAGCTTTTTTCACTTTAGGAACACCGGCTCCCTCTTCCACTCGATCCTGGGTACTCCTGGTGATTGGCTGCGGAATAATCTCCGACACAGGGATCCTAGGATTGGGTCGAGCTGGCTTTTCACATCAACAATTTTGTGATAGATGGAAATCCAACGACATGGAAACACAGATAATTACCAGCCGTGTGATGTATCCAGGGCGAAAAATTCTCCTTCCCTCCATCAATGAACTCTTTCCGCTCTTTTGCTCCCGTCATCTTGCCGTTTACACGACCCCTCTGAAGCAAACCCCCTTTTTACCTGGGCTGCAGAGAAATGCGATCTCAAGCAGATTGAAAAGCGACCTAACGCCAAGGTGAGATCTTCATTCTGGTGATGCCCTTGGTTCGTTGTTATTTCTGCCGCTCCTTTTCCTGCTCCTTTTTTTGAAAATTTGTTTACCCCATCTGTGCTAAAGTAAAATTGCTATCACCATCACTAGTTCAGGGTCAACCAGACGTTGTGGCCCTGGTTATGGTTGGGATCCCAGATTGTTAG